TGGACGAGCGCCTCCATTTGGGTGGCGGTTCTGGCTCGGCAACAGTAGCACAGTGTTCAACCCAAGTGTCCGTGTCAGTGAACTGCACTGATGGAAAGAAAGTTGTTTTTCACGCAGTGGGCGTAAATAGATGGTGACAGTGACACATAAAAGGCAGGGCTGAGGTTTAGAGCTGACGTCATGGCAATCAACATTTAGGAGGACTGGGCCTTTCAGTGAAAGGAAGCCACACAGAGCAGCCCACAAGCATTTCACTAACAGTCTGAGACCGGGTACCGCAAGCTGTACATGAGCGTGCAGACAGGGAACAATAGGGCTCCACAGGCACGTGGTTATATGCAGTATAAAAGCGTGAAGTTATAAAAGTCTTTGTGCATGCCAGTGCACTGCTTCACCTTTGCAGCTCTGTCAGATTTGGAGCCACATGACTTACTGAATCCCCCAAACTGAGCTCGAAGGCATGAAACTCTATACTCCGTCTCTTTTTTAACATCTCGTTTTAAACTTTCTCTCTCTCACACACACACAGCTCCTGTCACACAGGCAAAAACACATATAGGCACCCTTCACATCCCCGTCTCCCTGCTCCTCCGCCCTTCCTCACACACCCAATATCACTTAAGAGCCAACCACCAGATCCCATTTTTCACCGCAGAGCTGCGGATTAGAAAAGAAGGCATTTCCCAAATGGTCTGCGGCTTATGTGATGACATGATTGTCATTCAGTTTAATTCCCTCCATTCTCTTTAGATTCCTGCTCCCCTGATTCTGGTGCTACAATAAAGCACAGAAAGTAAATAAGAGTTAAAAAAAAAAGAAAAGAAGAAAAAACGAGGCTCCTGTAGGGACATGCTTCCTCGAAAGGCATTTTAGATTAAATTGTCAAGATGAAAGACGTATAGAAAATTGTTATGTGCAGCTGGTTTCCAGTCGGGGAAGGCTTTTGTGCATTTTTGTTTATGCAAAACATATCCATAGGCTTATACGTGCATAACTGCTACGTAATTGAAGCTCCTGGTTTTGGGGTATTGCCCAGATTTAACTCCAGTGAAGTCAGAATGAACGCCAGCGAACTCTCCCTCAGCTATAAATTATTCCCGTGTTGAACTCGAGGAATGATGTGAGCCTAGCGCTGTCTAATGCTTCCAAGGCCGTTCAAAGTCTTGCATAATCTCCGAACATCTCTCCTCTCAGATCTTTACTACATTGATCCATTTAGTGATGTCTCTATAAAGTTGCAGAGCAAGTCTGGGACTCCGAAGGTCCCGCCGGAGGCAAAACAAAGAAGAAAAGTTTGATACACCTGCATGAAGGTGGCAGGACACGAGGGATGGTGGGTAGGAGGAGAAGAGGAAGCTGTGGGGGCAGAAAAAAGTGTGCGGCTGGAGAGATCAGAGTGATTTTGTTCAGTCCTCCATCTCCTCCTTCACGCTGTCCATCAGTCATTCTCACTGAGGTTGCTTACATTTGCAGATAAAAGTTAGGAAGGTGGGGCCTCGCAGCTGCTTTGTTGTGGGCCTTTGAATTCATCCTCACTGCCTGAGGGATCCACCACTGAGCATATTGCATGTAGGAAATAGTGTGCATGGCATCTGTTGTTGCTCCAAAGAGAGATTCAGGCACAACGTGCACATTACGAGCATAAAACTTGCTTTTTGACAAGAAATCTAGGCAAAAAGCGAACATTCATCAGAATCAGAGGGGGACGCTCTTTCGTCCGTATATACTACTTTGCAGTTAACTACTACGAAATATATATATTCATTCCACACACACACACACATGGTTCAGGCTCCATTTATAGGAAAATACAGCCTTGCCTCTGCACTGCTTGATGAGTATCTCCTGGTTTCAAACATCTGCCATGATGGTTTTAAGGCGGGGACTCGAAACTCATTTTATATTGTGGGCCATGTACAGCCCACTTTGATCTTAAGTGACCAGTCAAACTCTTCTTTTTGATACTGTAAAATTTAATCACACATTTAATCCCTGGGATATTTTAACATAAAAAAGTGCAATTTTAACAAAACACCTCAATTTCTTCATGATAAAGAAATGCTGCTTTGGGCCTCAAATGTAAAAAGAAACATGGAAAATTACAGAAACAGTTCACTTAACTTATTGCACAAATTTTTTTTCCTTTGTTTTGGAAGGGGGCGATTTACGGTGAACCCACTGTAAATATCATACATACATTTCTATAGTACATTGTGAAAAAACTGGAACTTTCTTTCATTTAACGGTTTATCTTTTAATTATTTACTTTGGTGTAGTGTGAATGGACATGGAGGAGGTCTTTATCAATGCGAAAAGCTGACAAACTTATGAAAATAAAGTTAAAAATCTCAAATGTATGCCCTTCTTTACATTTCCAAAGCCATCCACTGGGCAGGATTTTAGTCTTTGGCAGGCCACTCTGGCCCCAGGGCCTAATGTTTGACACCTCTGCTTTAAGAGTTCTGCTGGGTTTTGCAAATGGGCGACAGCTTCTTCCTCACACTGGAAATTACACAACGAGAGTGGAACATTCAGCTTTTTGCTGTGCAGGATTTGTAATTTGCTGTAATGGCTGACACATGTACGCGCCATCGGCAGGCTTCCGGCTATGGAAATCTCTATCTGTGGTGCACACAGGGATGCGGCGCCAGCACGCACCTGCAGGCACAGCGGTGGGAAATATAGTCTGGACTGCACACATGCATACATAAAAACGTGAGCACACAGAGATAGAGAGGAGCATACAGGCAAACACACCCACAGACTGATATACTGTATTATCCGACCTCAATCCTATATACACAGATGCAGCTCACGACTTGTATATCACATTTGTTTCTTCAACACTGCTGCTGCCTGTTTGTTTCTTTAATCTCACTGTTTATATTTCTGCGTCCAAACCTGCCAGTATAACTCCAGCTAGGGCAATTAGCATGAGGGAAAAGCAAATAAAACGTCTGATGAAAGCAAAGCCCGGATCCTGACCTCACTCTGACTGAATGTGGCACTACAGCCAGCGGACGGTCATTTCCAAAAGCTGTGAATTCCTCGATGCCAAGCTGGCCTCTTTTGCAGTGGATTTACAATGGCTGTTTGTGTGTCAAAACATATCATTATTCTATATTTGCCTGGGTCATGTAGGAATCCACAGAGACCTTTGTTTCAGCAGACGGAGGAAACTGCAATCACGGGCTCTGCAATTCTTAACTTTGAAAGCTTTTCCTTAAAGGAAAAGTTAGACACTGCGGGACATAGAGCTATTAAGAGAATGTCAAGACTTAGATGAAAAGATTGATACCACTCTCCTATCAGGATGCTAAGAATACTAATAGCAATCAGCTAACTTAGCGCAAAGACTGAAAATGGGGGGG